AAAATCTCTATCAGCATCCCATTAGCTCAACCCACAGATGCCACATACATAGGGAAAGGTGCAATGGACAAATGGGCACTCCCAAACCTGGTGTTTGGACAAACTAACACTCCGTTCCAAAGTGTACAACCTAAAAGATCAGATTCCTCCCCAGTGCTGTATTACAGTTTTTTCTTTGCTTAAAAAAAAAAAAAAAAGATTTCATAGGACCATATTTAATTTGTACCCTATTAATTAGTAGCAAGTCACATATTATCCAGTGGAACCTCGTCACCTTGAATGATCTAATTATCTGTTCGAAGGCTGCCATCTTTCCTGACTTGGGGTAGTCGCCAGGGTTTAGACATTTGCTAGACCTCATCCCTAGCCTGGTTTCACCAAAAAACAGTGTATGAGGAGTTAAGTGACCACAGTGCCTACTTAAGGAAAGCCCATGTGACTGAGACTGGAACAAAAGAGATGGGAAAGGAGCTGGTTCTAGTAAAATCCATAATATAACTTTTTGGCAAAATTGGAAATTAATGTCTTTGAATAATTTTGCAGAGATTTTGACAGCCTTGGGATTCCATATGATAGTATGAGGGAGAGTCTAGCAGTCCTAGAGCTGCTCTTTAGTGAGGCTTCTTGCAGGTAGAAAGAAGTCCGCAAAAGAAAACCTAGTCCTAGGATTGACTGCTCCTTCCAACAAACCTCCTTCAACAGGCAAGAAAACAGAAGAGATGCTTTGTTTCTCTGCAATTCTTCCCCAACGATCATACAAACTGAGTGCAGTTTCTTAATGATGGGCTTTTAGTAATATTCTGCAATAACTAGGTAAGATGCCAGTTGACAAATTACAACAAATATGTCCTTCTGAATACCTTCACGGTCTCCCTGTTGGCTGGGGCCCTAATGAGCATGAGCTGCTGTGTTGCAGGAATAAATGCTCAGCTGCATGAATGGCTCCACTGCTCCTTATATACCTGGTATAACGGTAAATTAAAAAGTTGGTAAACTTACGGTCTTACTGAAAGGAAGAAGTGGATGATTTATTGGCAAATTACAAGTGGATTAGATCTCTTTATCAGTGTTTTTTTCCCCTGGACCATGACAACCTGGAAAAAGATGCTGTTCATAAAAAGCGTTCATCTAATCACAAATCTCATTAAGACAGTCTGAGTGACAGCAGGTTACTGTGAATTGAAAGAGCGTAGCTTTTCTTTCAGCACACTTTCCATTAAAAATGACATACGAGATGTGAAGAGAGTCACAGCATAAACCACAGGGAATACACTTGGTGCAAATGTACACCAACGACCAGACAAATCTGATTCTGGGAATAAAATATACAGCATCTGCAAATGGAGGATAGGCTTTTAAAGTCCATTCAAGTATGTACAGCCCCCAAAGCATCTAGTTGCTTTTCTCAGCTTCTGCAGAAGTAGAATGTAACAGTACAGAACTGAGCTGTTGGTAAGTAACCATGTTAAGAGTATATTGCAGACAGAGTGTGTGTCCTTGCCAATCATGAAAAGCCTAAAGTTACTAACTAAAGCAATGCAAATAAAGTAATGATTTCTACTCTGTTTCCAATTCCAAAGACTTTTTGCAAGATATTTTGTCCTAAAGAAATTAGGCTACACTTTCCTCACAAATGTAATCAGCCTAAAGCAGGAGAAAATATATTTGGAAGGTGGTTGAAAGAATGGGAACGTTACAGGAGATATCTGGAGTCAGGATCACGAGTTCCGTCAAAATGGACTAGGGGAAGCTTATTTACTTCAATAAAGCAGGATAAAGAGGAGTTATGAGAAGATCCATGAGAAAATTCTCATCAGATACTCCATTTCAGAAAGTGTGTGTCCACGCAACAGGAAAGAAGCAGGGGCAGAAGTGCCACAGTTACCTGCACAAACTTTACCCAAGGTCCAGTTCTAGGGACAGAGTTGTGTGGGTTTCTGCGGGAAAGGAAACACGTCCTGCCCTGCAATTTGCTTGCCAAGTCACAATGCAAGCTTTACAACAGGCCTGTGTTTAAAACCTGTGACATCTGGAGGTGGAAAAAACGGCCAAAAATTAACAGCTTCTGCTGCCAGTTTCCAAGCACGTGTACTGCCCAGTCCCTGGGTTAGCTCTGCAAACACCATGGCCTGTGGTGACCATACCACACTTTCTTGCAAGGTATGTCCATGGCTGTCCTTGTATAAAGGTATGAAAAGCAGAGGCTGTCATGTCATTTTGGTACTTGTATGGAAGTGTATAAGCCTTGATGTTATCCCAGCACTGCTTGCTTCCCCAGGCGGTGGCTGAGCCCCTGGTTCAAGGGAGGAAAAACTTGAATGTAGAGTCTGACAGCAAATGATTCAACTCCACCTGCATTTTTCCTTAAGCCAGGGAGCTGCCAGTGCTTACACACTCCCTATGTGGGCATGAGGCTCCCTGCCATCATGCTAATAGGCGCCCTTGTTCCAGGATATGGCTGCTGCTGAAGGAATTGGCCTTGGGTATGTCCAGGTGATGCAGAAAAAATGGTATTGGTATTTCTAGAGTGTCTAGGATCTTGTACAGAGGTTGCTGGCTTGGAGAGGAGAAGGAACTTAAAAGGCAAACTAAGCAATGATTTTTCTGATAGTAGGACTATCTGAGCTGTTGCACGTTTTTGAGTTCAGCCTGGTACTAGCTCAGATTGCTGAGCTTGCTACTGTCTCTACCAGATGCCCGTAGAGACACCTGAGTGGAACCTCTGTGAGCTGCCTGTGGGCAGAATGGCTCATCTAGAGGATTAGTAGGTCCAGCACATGAGGACCTCATCTTCAGGAGAGAAGTACAAAGTCTGACAGGAACATTCCTTGAATGTACACTTAGAATTGAAACAAACTGGAAAGAAAACCACTTGTTTACCTTCTTCCTTCTGTATCTCTCCCGGGTTCAGAGTTTCCCACCCTTATTCTGTGGTTCAATGGGATAGTCAAATTTTCTATAGCTAAAATCAGATTAGTAGTTTCTATAGGACCCGGCAATTCCAAAATAAAGCAAAAAACCCTTTTTCCCCCCTGCACATTTTTTTCCTTTGAATTAATGTTATGATTCACTTATTTCCATAAGAATTGTCAATCATTTTGGTTTACACCTGTCCTGGTTTTGGCTGGGATAGAGTTAATTTTCTTCCTAGTAGCTGCCATAGTGCTGTGTTTTGGATTTAGCATGAGAATAATGTGATAACACACTGATGTTTTAGTTGTTGCTAAGCAGTGTTTATACTAAGTCAAGGACTTTTCAGCTTCCCATACTCTGCCAGCGAAGAGGGGCACAAGAAGCTGGGAGGGGGCACAGCCAGGACAGCTGACCCAAACTGGCCAAAGGGACATTCCATACCATGTGACATCATGCTCAGTACATAAACTGGGGGGAGTTGGCTGGGTGGCAGCAATCGCTGCTCAGGGACAGACTGGGTGTCAGTAGGTGGGTGATGAGTGGGTGCATCACTTGTTCTTTTTTCTTTCCCTGTTTTTTTTCTGTGTGTGTGTGTTTCATTCTCTCTCTCTCTTTTGTTGTTTTATTTTCCATTACATATTATTATTATTATTATTATTATTATTATTATTATTATTATTATTATTATTATTATTATTATTATAATATTTCAAGTATTAAACTGTTCTTATCTCAACCCACGAGTTTTCTGACTTTTGCTCTTCCGATTCTCTCCCCCATCCCAGCTGGGGGGGAGGGTGAGCGAGCAGCTGTGTGGTGCTCAGTTGCCGACTGGAGTCAAACCATGACAATACCATCAGATATTCACTGGGATGACAGGATGATAGAGGAGCCGCGATTGTCACATAATCCCATGATTACAGAAGATGGGGTTTTTATAAAACATGGTGAGACCACTGACCAAGTCACCGGGGTTGGCAGTGCTGCAGATGAATGACCAGCATATACTATACAGGAGAGAGAGGAACCACTTGCACAGAGGGAAGGAAGGGACTCTGGGGTAATAGCAGCTACTTCCAAGAATACGAGGAAGATCCTTTCTATTCTTGGCACCAAAGAGCTGCTGGGTGTGAACGTCTCATGTCCTGCAGATACTGAAGGGACCCATGACCCTGGAACTATTATCTGGAAATTTTATTAATCTCAGTAGCTCAGTATACAGGCTGTGTCTTAACAATCTGTCCAAACCTTTAATAAGCTTTCTGAGCCACTGCCTCACAACTTACATTCTCACAATATAGAAACAGTATTTTAAAAAAATCCACTAATTTTGTCAAAGCAATTGTTTGCAGTATGGAAAAATTCTCCCAGTAGAAACTTACATTGTCAAATCATGCAGACACAGCAAAGTTTGCATTGCTATGGAAACAAAGCTAAAGATGGCTTATGCTGTGAAAAACAACTTGCAAGTGACTGTGAAAAGTGAGTTTATAAGAATGACACCTTTGGGGTTGATCTTGAAAGACATGATGTAACATAAGCATCTTGGGTTAGAAGGCTGTTTTTATTTAGTTTTCCACAGAGACAGGTTACTTTCACCTCTATTCTTACAAGTCTGACATCAAAAACTATCATCATACATATATGAGCTATACAGGTAAAGAGACATCTGCCAGTACAGAGTTATACTTCTCCTATCAAACACTTTAGGAAAAACAAATATGGTCCCTTCCATGCCCATCTAATAAAAGAAGAACTGCTAAGTCAGGATAGAATATTGATCATAATTATTTTCTTTATATGAATCTAGTTATTAATAAAAAGGTAAAAAAAATCTAGTATCTAACGTTTAAACAAAACATACTTTATACATTTGGCTAAGCTGAAATATCATACCTTGCCAAATGAAAAAATGCTCTCTAAGGGTAGTTTCCCTAGCAGCTCAGTAGGTATGCAAGGCATGCAGTTCATTTCCTGCCTGTTAGCTGAGAAAAATGGGTAGGTCTGAGATAATATTGCTAGTGTGCTTGAAAAAGATCTTCGTTGTTAACATGGTAGTTGACTGTGTGTACGTATTTTGACTCTTCGTCTCCTTGAAAATTTCCCAGGTGCAACTTTTGGGTTGACTCCATTTTAGCTCTCAATGATGGAGGGCTCAATGGGAGGCAGAATAGGATTTTCCAGAGCGCTACAGTCATCAGTGAGGAACACCAAGTCCTGGAGAAACAAAAGAGAGCGCTAACATTATAAGGAGGAAGGCAGAAGATAACACAATGTTGAGAAGCTCAGGCCCTGCTCCAGTTTTGCTCATCAGGGGACAGGGTGGAGAGAGAGGGGGCTAAAAGCAGAGACTGTGTCCCTGTTGGTGCATCTTGACCTACCCTTCTGCAGTAGGAGATCATGATGGTGTACAGGCTCCGGGCTTTTTCCTTCAGCTCACTCACTTCAAGCACTCTCTCACATCTGGGGTAGGCCACAAAATCACGGAGTTTTCCCAACACACAGTAATTCTGCAAAGCACGCAAAAGAGGTATGTGTAACCCTGCACAAATACAGATTTATGTTTCTCATCCACCACTTACAAAATTCTTACTGCCTCTGTGGGAACCTTGAATTCCCACCTCTATGTATGTGTAATTTATGTAACCTTCAGTTAGGAAAATTCACCATCGATATTTCATAACAGAGATGTTTGGTCCAAATAAGTGCTTGGAAAAGTGCATAGGTGCAGTTTTGGTCTGCCAGCTTCTTTCCCACACGCTTTAGGAGAGAGCAGTGCCAATACAATCAAATCTGCTCCTGTAGTAGGTGGAGTTACCTACAGAATAGGTGCCCTGTTTCCCTTTTAAGACAGCACCTGATTTAGCTGATGAACAGATTATCAAGATCTCACAGACATGCTTCCTCTGTTCCCGTACAATAGGCAATACTGTGAGCACCAGGCAAAATTTTTTTTGGAGTAATTTTTACCTCAGACTTTGCGTTATCAAAATAAAGCACAGCCAACATGAATTTCACAATGTCCTTGTGAAGCAGGTAAATAAATATCCCAGCTCTTGCTTTACAGTAAGGGAAACTGAGGCACTGGACTCACATTGCTTGGTCTTTGCAATGAAGTGAGGCACTGGCAACTCTGGGACTGGGATCTGGAGGATCCTGACTTGCAAGACTTGACGGTATAGTTGCCTCTGGCAAAATGTGTCAGACATCTCTTGCTCTGTCTGCTATTTTCTACTTTTTAGTTACTCAGTGGAGCACTGGGAAAAGGAGCAAAATATGTTGGATATCCCAGGGCAGAACACTATGGCATAAACTATGTGTGCAGAAGGCTATTTTGTCTTTGCTGGGACATGACTACTGCTGTCCTTTCTCAGTATCACACTTCCATATCCTCAGGCATACTTTTTCTTTCTGGATTCAACAAGTGGCTACTTAGAACAGGAAAAGCCAGCAAGGTATTCCTGCACTTCTTTTTATTAAAACTGCAGTGCCAGAAGCCACTCATGATATAAAATTTAGATTTATTAAGTGAAGAAATTTCATTCTGCATTTCTTCTTTTAAACTATTATTCAAAGTTTTTTTGCACATATTTAACTTCTGAAAAGGCTCTGTCACAATAAATTAATAATGTACAAATGGTAATCACTTCAAAATACTGATTTCCTCATTTTTGAATTTTTAAAGAAGTAAAATCTCAGAAGCTCCATAGGGATTTTAATAAGGTTCAAAATGAGATTTTTTTTTGGTCACTCATCTCTCTAGTTAATTAAGCTTTTAAAATTAGTTTCAAACCACTCTTCTGGGGTACAATCTTAAGAGTTATCCTCTCTTTTCATTAGCTGCTTTTACTGCACAGCGGTAAAAAAGAAATGTGAAAACTTACATGTATGTCCAAGTACAGCCTAGGCAGCATCTCCACACATGAGTCCTGCAGGAAAGAAGAAAAACACATTGCAATTTTGTTTTGAGAGAAACTTGGGTCAAAAGCAAGCAATCTGCAGCGTCTTTGCAGGAGCAGTTTTTAGGTGGACTCACCACAGCTTTGGAGGTCTGTAACTCCTTAAAAGACTCCGTGATTTCTTTGCTCAGAGACAACACCCTTGAGTAGCAAGTTGGAGGGGCTGCGTTGGCTAACAGGGCAGCAGAGAGCAGAGCAATCAGGCTCAGCAGCATCTTCATTGTGGGGAGCTTGTCCAAAGGAGGAGGAAGGGAGGAAAAAAATCACCGTTAGTGGTTAGGCAGTTACTGGTAAGCGTCAACGAGTAAGTTTGACAAGTCAGCCCCCAATTAAATAGTCTCCTGCATCAATGGGGAAAAAAAAAACGTCTGGGGGTGGTCTGAGCAGCAGCTTGCTGTCGTTTTAAATTTCCTGCCAATCTATGAGTCAGAGCTGCTAGCGCTTTCCTGCCCGGAGCAGGGAGAGGAGGGAATGAAGGTAACAAAACCAAACACTACTGGCACTTTTCATTCCAGAAAGAAAACAACTTAGTGAGCACCTCAAGCAACAGAAATATGTGTAAGAAACATCATAGGGTTATCAAAGTGTCGTAGGCCCTGATCCTGTATGTGCTTTGGCACATACGCCTCTTTCTCGAGAACATAATGTAAAGCTGTGGGGCTACATAGGCTGCAGATAGAGAGAAATCCTTCCAGGACTGGTGTCTTATGTTGGCAGTATCAATCAGACCTGCTTATCATCCTTAGCAGGTCTGAAAGGTTACCACTATAAAGGAAACCTCCCACGTCTAGTATCAGTTTCTCTTTTAACCTATGCAGATGCTCACAATTTCTTAATCAAAATAATCGCGCTTGTTACGGCTGCTTGGGGAGACCTGTGTGTCTACACGTTCATGGTCTCAAACCAAATGAACACAAGTCTATATGGCTGTCATAAATGTATAAAACCAATTTTGCTTTCTGACTTGAATTTATGAGGCTCTGTTCTTTTATTAGATGCCAGATGGAACAGAAATCCAGATGCTGGGATGCAGGAGGGAGGCTGAACATATGTTGTTCTTACATGTTAATTGTCCTGTAAAATAGAGGTAGCCTTGAATGAAGAACTGATTATTTCACGAGTTATACCCCCCCAACCCCCCAACCTCCCCCCCCTTTCAAATTCAGATTCTAGCTAGGTATTAACCAAAATAGTGAAGTATCTGATGAAGTACTGCAATCCCCTGGCATTGCAGTAGACCAGGAAGGTTCATCTGAAGGTGGGAGAAGGGGAAATGACTGAATACCTGTAAAAGAAAGGGGCTTCCCACCAGCCACTTCAGAGAGAAAATCAGAGTCTTGAAAACTAGTTTTTGGGAAAAAGAAGTATTCTATATGTTGCAGAGGACTCTGCCTTAAATCCACCAAAACACCTGGAGGAAACAGGGAAAGAGAGCTGCATTCTACTGTCTTGTTATACATTTCTTTGCTTTCATAAAGAACGATTGGTTTAGTAACATCATGTGCTCCTGAATGTTGAAGCGGTAGACACTCAGAGAGGAAAGAAAGGTTGTGAGTCTTGGCTGGGGGGAATTTAGGACTGGCCTTGGCGAATGGGCTGCTGGGTCTTATTTTCAGGAAAGGGAGTTGCCTAGACAAGTGAATGAAGAGGCCAGAGGAAGATGGGAAACCTTCTGAGATGGCCCCAAGCAGCTGGATCATAGATCTAAACACAGCTACTTAGTGCATGTCCAAGGAAAGGATGCTACTTACTGTGAGCCTGGCCGGTAAAGAAACAGGCTCTTAATCACCATCTCGTTACTGTAAAGAGTAGCTGAGGGTAGGAGTGAAATATTGTCCTTCTATCACATTCTCATTTGGCAAGCTGCTAAAAGGTAGTTGCTCTGCCAGAAGAGCAGTCTTCTGAACTGCATAAATGCTCTCCCAGTACAAGAAGTCAGCAACCCAGCTGCTGCTAAGGATGGCTTCAAAATGAAACATTTGCTTTTTTTTTTTTTTTTTTTAAAGTGCAAGCAATATTCTCTTTCTTGGTATTTTACCTATATTAAGCCTACAGTGATGACTCCATCTCAAACGACAATCAAATACTATGGATCATGTTCTAAAAGATAGATGTCAAAGTGACTGTGACAAACGTGGCCTCATGGCCACTCTTTGCCTGGCATGAAACACCAACAAAACAACTCTCCAAGTCCTGTGCCCTGGCCATATTCAGGCAGCTGAAAGCTATTTAAAAATCTCTCTCTTTAGGATGGGATAATGTTAAAGGTGCCAACACCGATTTGGAATTACATTATGAACTGAGCTACACATTGGTTGCCTAGGGCCAGAGAGGCAAGCGTGTAGCTTCCTATAGCTTAACACAATACCCTGTCTCCCAAGTTGGGGTGAAAGCCCCATGCCACAGAAGCCTCACCCAGTGGTCATGTCTGAAGGAGCCTGGCATAAGCGCTGAATGCCGCCTATTGCAGTCACAGCCCTCAGCTCCAGGAAGACATCCAGAGGAAAAGCCCAGCACTTGCATAGCACTGAGGGCTTACGATTTTTGCCCAAAAAGTGGGAGACCTGGAATTCATTTCTTTCTCAGTTTCTGAAAGTACAGGGTGTTGGGGTGGATGGCCATGTTCTAAGGTAGTGACAAAGGGAAGGGGGAGGAAAGGACTGCCACCCGCCGTTCATGCCTTTGCACTTGAAGTCTGCCTGGCCCCACATTTGCAGCCTGTATACTCACAACTCTTGTCCTAAGAGGTGAGATTTGCTCAGCCCCACACACTTGCAGAGGTGCTTTGCCACTGACAGGCATGGGAAATGATCCACCCATCAAGTTTCTTCTGCAGAACAGGGAAATGCAATTACTTGCTGAGCAACCAAGCTCTTCTTGGCCCTGAGAGCAAAGCAAAGGCTGGATCCAGGCCTCACCAAAAGATTTAACCAAATAAAAAAAATGACTCTCTGCTTTGTGAAGGGGCAAAATTCCTGAAGTAATTTGCTCTGAAGTTTTTGCTCAGCTGCAGTATTCCTGCCTTGTGGTTCTCTTTGATCCCATATAAACTAACTCAAGGAAAGCCACCTGCAATGGCTGTCTACTCAAATAGTTAAAAAAATGAGCTACCCTCAGACATACTCGGAAAAAAGGATTTCTTTTTTTTGGAAAAAAAGGAAGGACCGGAGTTTAATTTTCTCACCTAAATCTTCCCTTCCCTGGGCCCGATTACATGCATAGTTGACTCTGACCCAGATGGATATTTTCCAACGTCTACTAGCTCATCAGGACTTCTGCACATCTCAGCATGCAGAATATGCAACTCAGTCCAAAAAAGACAAATACTCTCTTCTCAGTTATTTTCTATTTGTAGCTCATCAGCAAGATTATCCTTGAGCTCAGTACATTCAATTTATGGTCCAGATATGAGCAAATAACTTATTTTTCTCTAAGAAGCTCACTGGTGACTTCAGGAGAACTTGCTAGTGACACCAGGCACTGGGAGTCCTTTCAGTCTAAGGCACCTGGCACAACTCTGCGCCAGATACATAGTTACTGAAGCCCTTGAAACTCCAGACTCTCTTTTCAGTGATGGTTTTTATCCAGTCACTTATGCAAAGCCATTTATTAATTCTGGTGCATACCCTGCCTTGGGCAGGGAAGGTCTTTAACAGGGAGACACAGGCTGTTCTTCACAAAGGCTAATAGCATCTTAGAGGCACTATTCAAAATGGGCATGGAAATAGTCTTTAGATCTACAGGAGGGGAAGGGGCAAAGATCAAAATATGTTAGAGTCAAAACTTGCCTAAGGATTGCCTCTATGGAGAAGCTGCTATATACAGTCCTTGTCTGTGGGACAACGCTCAGGCTGGCATTAGAAGGGAGCACAGCAGGAGTCAATCACTGCCACCATATTTGTGATGATCATCATGACATGGACATCTCCACCACAGACACATCTTTACCATATTCCTCAATTCAGTGAGCATATGAGGGCTTTGAGGGCTCAGGACACACGCTCTCTGAGTTTTGCATCAACTCTTGAGGCTGATGATGTCACTACAGCCCCAAGTGCTATTTACAGTGCATTTATTTACTCTTTTATAAGGAATAATCCATAGCAAAAACAGACACACGGGCTGAGAGGAAACTTAGAAGCCTATCATGACATAACCATGTATATATTTTTTAAAAAGATTTTTGAGCTATGTTGTCCTTTTTCTTCCAAGTTACTGAAAACTCAAATGATAATTTTTTTCTAGAAGTCAAAGGACTCACTATGCAGGCAGAAATTCCTCTTGTGTTTGAACAGTCTACCAGGGCCTCCACCAACTTTTGACAAAAGCCCTTTCAAGTTGCTGACTTCCTAATACCAAAATCCACTTGTTTAATGAAAATGTTTATTTTAAAATAGTCAGGGGCTGCCATGAGACACCTTATGAAATGAGCTTCTGATTACATTGAAAAATAGGAAAAGAAAAGTAAAACAACGCTTTACAGAGAAAGTCCTGTGTATTTAAGAAGTGATTCAAAGCCCCGTGACTTGGTTGGCTGTTGTGGCAAAGGTGCCACTTCTTGCTTCAGAGCAGAGCTAAACTGCCCTGCAAGCTTCGATCTCAGGACAAGGCTTTTCGGAAACCCTGGTGTTTTGATTAATGTCTTACCTGTTTGTTGTGTTTTTCCTCGCTGTGCAACTGCACTTTGTTGAGCCTTTTTGTAGGCATCAGAACTGAATTTTGGGATAGGGATTGTGCAGCCTCACACATTGCCCTCGGTCTTGGGGGTGCTGGTGCCCAACACTGCCAGCTGCCCCGGTACAGAAGGGAAGCCAAGTATGGCAGCACAGTGTGCCTGCATTTGAAGCTGGGGTAATCCAACGTGTCTCCTTTTCTCTTTCATGCTAGCAGTAGGTCTCTGCTGGTGATCTGCATGGCTTGGCCAAGCTGTGGGCAATGGACAAGGCAGGCAGGACCTCAGGGCTGTTGCTGGGCTGGTGTTGCAACGTCTTTTCCCCATGAGAGTTAAGCAAAAGTCCTCTTTGCTTAGTCAGTGGTATGAGCTTCTTTTTTCTACATTGCTGTTGTTATTTTTAAAAATTTACATATATATTGAGGAAACAGATATTACTGTTCAAAAGTCTGTTCTTAGATAAAATGGTTATAGAAGCAGCTAAGCTATCTGGGTCAGAAAAAGAAATGAGATGTTCTGAAATCTGGAGATCTTGCCAGCACAAACCTGGCACTGGGCACTTTTCCTGCAGGAAAACATATGGA